GAAGCAAGCAGAGAAACGGGGGGACCTCATACCACCAAGAAAGCAGCGCCGGGAGCAGAGCTCATCCTTTAGACCTAGGGTTCCTGCGTGAAGAAGCTTAATCCAGGGGAAGATTGACGACAAGAACCTTCCTCCAGAGCCAACAGAGAAAGCCTTCCCCTGGAGCTGACACTCTGAATTTGGACTTGTAGCCTACTAGACGGTGAGAGAATAAATTTCTTTTTGTTAAAGCCATCCACCTGTGGTATTTCTGCTATAGAAGCACTAGATAACTAAGACAGAATTTGGTACCAGGAGTGGGGTACTGCTGTAACAGATGCCTAAAATGTGGAAGCGGTTTTGAAACTATGAATGGATAGAGGACTCAGAAGTAAGTGAGGACAGCTGTTACATTGGAGACAGTATAGACTGTGATAAGCAGCAGCAGAGATCCGGCAGTGGCAGAGAACCTGCAGCAGCAGAGAACCAGCAGTGGCAGAACCAGGAGACTGGAGCAAGACAGCGCTGGAGCCCACCCATGGAGCAAGAGAGGCGAGTGCCTTCTGGCTGAAGTTTACTGGCAGAGTGGGATGCCTCCAGGCACTTATTGGTGCTATAGACCTTTGGAACACTTGCTCCAGCGGGGCAGATGCAGGCGTGAGACCCAAGGAGCCACTGAGAGGCTAAGAAATCAGGATGCGGAAGCTGAAGAGACAAGGAACACAGGAAGCCGAGCTGCCTAAGTCTCAAACGGTATGGCCAGGACCTCTGGGGTCTCAAAGGGTGGAGCCATGGCCTCTGGTGTTTCTAAGGGTGGAGTGCCACTCAGATAGACTAGGAGAATGGTGCACTTAAAGCCAAGGGAGCAGAGCTGCCATCCCAGTGGGCCTGGAAGGCGGAGCTGAAGCCCAGGGCCAAGGGGTCTCTACTCAGAATCCAGAGAGTGTGGCTCAATACCTATTTAGAGTCTGGAGGGCCAGGGCCATTGTATAAATTGTCTCAGAGAATAGAGGATTGTTTTCAAGCCTTGAGGGCTAATGTAATGTGTTCTGCTGACTTGCTTGGTGCCTGTTATATCTTCTTTCCTTCCAGTTTCCCCCATTTGTAATGAAATGTCTAGCTTGTGGATGTTGAACCATTGTATTTTGGAAGCAGATAACTTGTATTCTAGCTTTCACAGACGAAGAGGAATTCTTCGGATTTTGGACTTGGAGTTAAGACTTTTGCTATGATATGATGGGGTGAATATGTTTGACATGTGACAAGAACATGAATTTTGGGGGGCCAAAGGGTGGAATGTCATGGATTGAATTGTGCCCTGCAAAAATATGTGTATCAATTTGGCTAGGCCATGATACACAGTATTGTGTGATTGTCCACCGTTTTGTCATCTGATACGATTTTCCTGTGGGTTGTAAATCCTACCTCTATGATGTTAATGAGATGGGATAAGTGACAGTTAATGTTGATGAGATCTACAAGATTAGATTGTGTCTTAAGCCAATCTCTTTTGAGATATAAAAAAGAGAAGGGAGCAGAGAAACGGGAACCTCATACCACCAAGAAAGCAGCACTGGGAGCAGAGCGTGTCCTTTAGACCCGGAGTTCCTGCATGAAGAAGCTCTTAGTCCAGGGGAAGATTGATGACAAGGACGTTTCTCCAGAGACGACAGAAAAAAATTTTCCCCTGGAGCTGATGCCCTGAATTTGGACTTGTAGCCTACTAGATGGTGAGAGAATAAATTTCTCTTTGTTAAAGCCATCTACTTGTGGTATTTCTGTTATAGCAGCACTAGATAACTAAGATACCCCCCCTGCCGTCTCCTGGTTCTGCTGCCGCCGTTTCTTGCCAGCTCTCACCGTCTCTGGTGTTACAGCTCACTCCCGGGTCTAGGATGTTGTTGATGCAAGGACCCCAGGTCCAAAGGATGTGCTTTGTTATCGTCTGTTCTTCTTGGTGGTAGTGAGGTTCCCCCTTTCCACCTCTGGGATAGTTCACTTTAAGTCTAGCAGGGTGGTAAAGCCGACCAATCCTCTTGTTAGGGTTCCATATACCTTATTTGCATGGTCCCACCCCCACAAGGGTGCCATGCACCTTATTTGCATTGTTAGCAAGCTATTCATTCCCCCTTGGTGGGCCACAAGCACCTCATTTGCATAGTCCCACCCAGTCATTTGGTGGGAGTTATAAGACTATGGTGAGAAAGGTCATATAAAAGTGATCCATCATATTACAATCAGACACCCATGCAGATATATTCTAAGTGTCCATTTAAGCTCTCTTGCCCTTGCATAGGCCCATTGCAAAGAGATTTAAGTTGTCATGGATGACTTCAGAGCTTGAGCCTAGAAGGAACATTGGCAAAGATGTACTGCGCTCAGACCTCCAGTGCCCTCATAAGAGTTGCTCGGAGGCTCCTTTGCAAGCAGCTGACCTAAGGAGAGTGTGGACTTCTCAGCCTGTGTGTGATTTGGGGCCCTTTCAAATGGTCATTATGGAGTAAGAAACAGCTTGTGGTTTTTACTACCTTCTTTGGCAGGAGGTTGAAGAAAGCCCTTCTTTCTTAGTAGCTCAGTGGGGGAATTCTTGGGGAGTGGAGGTGGGTAGTGGTGGGGAAGAGAGGGGAGAAGTGGCGTGGTCATGGAAGAACTGCTTGCTTGGGTCAGCTGAGAGAGCACCGCCGAACTTCTCATTTGTCATATTGGTCTAGATGTACAGAAGGCTTTTGTGGAGCTGTTTCTGTTGTTTGTTTGTTTGTTTTTTAAAGCCTTTTACTTCTTTGCCTGTAGTTGAAGCTATGTAGCAGTGTTAAGTACAAGCATTTAATAGGAAGCAGTGGTGACTCAATGGTAGAATTCCCGCTTTTCATGCCAGAAACCTGGGTTCAGTCTCCTGCCAGTGCACCTCAACATTAGAGGCTGTCGTTAGAGGCCTGCATGTTGCTATGATGCCCAACAATTTCAGTGGAGTGTCCAGACTAAGACTAGGAAGAAAGGCCTGGTGGTCTAATTTAGAAAATCAGCCAGTGAAACCCGTATGGATCACAACTATCATGAGGGTGGCACAGGACGGGGCAGCGTTTGGTGCTGTTGTCCGTTGTGCATGGAGTTTCCATGAGTTTGGGGCTGACTTGACAGCAGCTAACAGCAACAACAAATACAAGCAAGCAGATTAAGATGTACTGGACAGATTTTTAGAGACACCGAATAGCACCTGATTTCCTATTGATCTGATCTGGGCTGTCCAAGTTGTAAAAGCTTCACAGCACACTCAGCATGATAAATGCTCTTGTACATTGGGACTGTTTGCTAGAACACAGTGAACTTATCAAACCTTTTATTTAAAAAGTAAACACTACTCTTGATTAAAATGGTCACACAACTTTGTTTTAGAGGTCAGAGAACGGTGGCCACCATTTAACATGGTGGCTTTGGAATTCCAACCCCGTCCTTAAACAAAGTTACTTAACTTCTTTAAATCTGTTTCCTCAGGTACAGAATGGGACCAAAAGTAACAATACCTACTTTCTAGGCTCATTCTGAGATAATGCACAGTGCCTGGGACACAATACTTTGGGATTCTTTTCTAAGGTTAAATTTCCAGCAGTAAAGAAAATCTTCCCAGTTCTCACAGTGTATTATTGATTGGGTTGTCTTTTAATGTCAAGCCTGTCTCAGTGACTGGTCTTGTACAGGTCATCCATTTTAATACCGTTAGAACCCTGAGGTTACCTTTAGTAAAGCATTTCATTCAACTCTTTGTTCTTCTGTTACAGTCTGAAATGTATTCTTGACCTTTGATTTTTCACTAAAATGTCATTTGCACTTCTGTATCTTTTTTTTCTTTTTGCTATACACATACACACATAGACAGACAGATGATTTCCATACAATAAGCAGCAGAGATCTTAAGTATACAATTTGCATTTTGACAATTGTATACACCCATGAAACCTGTGTGTAGTACATGTCTGTACCCCGGGAAATTCCATCCTGCCCCTCTTCACTCAACGCCCCCCCCCCCATCACTTTCAGATTTCTGTGGCCTGCATTAGTTTTGTGCATTCAGTGACCTTCACATAAGTGGAATCTCACAGTATACGTGTTCTGAGCTGATACGAAAATGTGGCTTTCGGTCACAGCGACAAGTTGTTGCTGGTAGCAATGGTTTCCCTTTTTGATGCCAAGGGGTGTTCCATTGTATGACTATACCAGGGTTTATTAGTGCATTCTCTTGTTGATGATACTTGGGTTGTCCTCAGTTTGGGGCTGTTATGAATAAAGCTACTATGTGTCTCTTTCATTTTATCCTTTTGGGTACGCAATGTGATTGGTGCCTCTTCCACTTCCTAGCCCCTCAACCCTGGGCAAGTGTCTTCATCTTTCGGCCTCGCTTCCCGCATTTGTGAAAATGGTGGATTGTGAAATAATTTAGGATTGGGACCAACATTTTTTTAAAAATGGAGTAGAATAAAATAGGAAATCAAAGTGAGTTACATGGAACTTCACACATTACAACATACATATGAATATGCATGTACATGTGTACTGGATAACACTATAAAATATATTTGTTATGAATTGCGATCAGAGACGTAGCAAAGCACTGATTTGCATGTGCCCTTATAAGTAACAAGGGGAACAACTGTGACGTTATTCAAGACATCCTTACATGCCTGTAGGGTGTCTAAAATAACAATAATGGTAACAGTCACTTACATAGTGCTTGCGATAGACCAGGCGCTGTTTCAAAAACTTTACATGTGAAATCATATAGTCCTCACAGCCATCCTGTATAGTGGGTTCTTATCCACGTTTTCTAGACGGAGAAGCTAAGGCCCAGGTTATGCAACTTGCCCGCAGTCACAAAGCTAGAGGAGTCGGGCTGTGATCTGAACCTGTCAGAAGCTGTGCTCTAAACCGCTGTTCCAGGGGAGATAACGTCCAAGAGGCAAGTGAGATGAGTTAAATGCAAATCAATAACACATCATTAATGTAATGTTCTGCCTCTTTTATTCCAGATATGAGAAATGAGTGTTGGACGTCGAAGGATAAAGTTGTTGGGTATCCTGATGCTGGTGAATGTCTTCATTTATTTGATTGTGGAAGTCTCCAAAAGCAATAGCCAAGAAAAAAATGGAAAGGGGGAAGTAATAATACCCAAAGAAAAGTTCTGGAAGATATCCAGTCCCCCTGTGGCTTATTGGAACCGAGAACAAGAAAAGCTGAACAAGCGGTACAATCCCATTTTGAGCATGTTGGCCAACCAGACAGGGGAGGGGTATGGGTCTTCCAATGTGAGCCATCTGAACCACTGCGAGCCTGACCTGACGGTCATGTCAGTAGTCACAGGTTTTAATAATTTGCCGGACAGATTTAAAGACTTTCTGCTCTATTTGAGATGTCGAAATTATTCCCTGATTATAGATCAACCAGATAAGTGTGCAAAGAAACCCTTCTTATTGCTGGCAATTAAGTCCCTCACCCCACATTTTGCTAGAAGGCAAGCCATTCGGGAGTCATGGGGCAGAGAAGCCAATGTGGGGAACCAAACAGTGGTGCGAGTCTTCTTGCTGGGCCAGACCCCCCCGGAGGATAACCATCCTGACCTTTCAGAGATGCTGAAATTTGAGAGTGAAAGGCACCAGGACATTCTTATGTGGAACTACCGGGACACTTTCTTCAACTTGTCTCTGAAAGAAGTGCTGTTCCTCAGGTGGGTGAGCACTTCCTGCCCAAAGGCCGAGTTTGTTTTCAAGGGTGACGATGATGTTTTCGTGAACACCCATCACATCCTGAATTACTTGAATAGCTTATCCGAGAACAAAGCCAAAGATTTGTTCATAGGTGATGTGATCCACAATGCTGGACCTCATCGGGATAAGAAACTGAAGTACTACATCCCAGAAGTTGTTTACTCTGGCGTCTACCCACCTTACGCGGGGGGAGGTGGGTTCCTCTACTCCGGCCACCTGGCCCTGAGGCTGTACAATATAACTGACCAGGTCCATCTCTACCCCATTGATGACGTTTATACTGGAATGTGCCTTCAGAAACTTGGCCTCGTTCCAGAGAAACACAAAGCCTTCAGAACATTTGATATAGAAGAGAAAAATAAGAATAATATTTGTTCCTATGTAGACCTGATGTTAGTACATAGTAGAAAACCCCAAGAGATGATTGATATTTGGTCTCGGTTACAAAGTGCTCATTTAAAATGCTAAAATATATATTCACTAAATTTTGCGTAGGAAGACATACCTTGAATAGTTCCCATGTTGTGTTCTCACATTAGGGTTATTTCTGTGCTAAACCATCATAATTGCCTTTAGGTATCCATTTGAGGGCCTCTAAGCTCTTCAGTTTGGTACTTTTCTGAAGAGGGAGAGCAGAAGAATATAATTTCTTACGGAGGATGTGGTGAGATAATTGGTTCTGATCCTTCCTACTGATGGGTGGTCATTATTTTCTAATTCATCCTCCCTTTGCATCTGAAATCATAAGTTATTTTTGTTTTGCCCTCATATGATGATATTCCTGCTTTCCATTTTAATGATTGATCTATCTGTGATTTAGATGTTTATAAACCGATTGGATACAAAGACTTTGTTATACATGGTTCAGTGGCTTCTCTGAAATGGAATTAAATTTATTTTCATGAATTTTGGATGAATTTTAGATTGTCTAGAAAAATTGACTTCTGTCAATATTTCCTGCCACCCCAACAGTATTTTGTTGCATTAATCTGATTAAGTTCATTTAGCAAAATGAGAATCACCGTGTGTCACTCGTACAGTTTATCTTGTTATAATGTTCATAGTAAGGAGAGAAAATTTAATTTTTTGTGTGTTTGGTTTGCTGGGTGGTATCATGATAATTCTCTAATTTTAGTATTTGACAGTAACGAGTATGATTCCGTAACGGCCAGCTGAAGATTGAATTGCCCCTGACAACCATACTGGGTCTGTAATATTAAAAACGTGCACCAGGAAAGCCTATGTGACTTTGGAGCTTTAAGCAGAAAGATTGAAGTTGCGTACCTTTCCGTGGTTTGTCAGTTTAAAACTCCAGGATTCTATTCTTGCCATATTTTCACGTGTTGCTTATACAAAATTATTATTCTGAGTAGTGACTGCTTCCCTGTCTCAGTGTAGAAGTGCCTGTGTTTTTATTTATTGTTCAGATCTAAGACCAAAACATTTTCTTAAATATATTTTGTGTAATATTTTATTTGTATACAGTGTTGTTGATGAAATATTTAATTAGAGCATGGTATTTTAAATGTTAAGGTGTAACATGTTAAATAAAGTTAATTGTTATTTTGAATTTTAAAATTCATTTTTTGGGGGGTATGAACTATTATACTAGAGTTGATAAAATTCTACCAAACTATTGCGTATTCGGAAACACTGGTGGCGTTGTGGTTAAGTGGTACAGCTGCTAACCAAAGGCTTGGCAGTTTGAATCCACCAAGTGCTCCTTGGAAACTCTATGGGGCAGTTCTACCCTGTCCTATAGGATTGCTGTGAGTCTGCATCAACTCGACAGCAATGGGTTTGCATTTGGTTTTATTACTTATACATACTATCTCGAAACTTGCTTTCTTGAAATATTTTTATGGTTATAGAGATGAGGGTTCTTATCCGATGCCATATACTGGAGCTGTAAGAAGGTGGAAGTAAAATCACTGGGTATTTTTAATTGTCTCATGTAATGTATAATAGTCTGTGATCTCTTCAGTTAGTATAAAAAGAGTTCCAGAATTTTCCCAGTGCCAGTTTTTTTCTACGTTGGATTACAGTTTCTAAAAAGAGGTTGGTTTCCCCCAGAAACCATTACAGTAACATTGAACTATAACTTTTTGTTTATCTCAGTGGGTCATCTGCCTGCGTTTAAATTTTCAAAAGTGCTTTCCAGCTTAGAGTCTTTAAAGAGAAGTGTGAATATTGATTTATGCTTCCATTTTCAGTGAGTATAAAAATATAACCAGAAAAAAAAAAGAGAAAACACTAAAAAGTGTGTGTGTGTGTGTGTGTGTGTGTGTGTAAAATCAGGAAGTGGAGCAACATTGTGAAGACAGTTTTTCTGAACCATTTCCACTTTGGGGTTTGTAACCACAGTGATGAAGTAAACACAGTCTTCACCATTGAAGTTTCTTTCATAGACTCATGTTGAGAAGAGATGGTACATCTTCAATCAAAAACAGGTGGACACTTGATAAACTTCAAAAACAGAAGGAGGCTTAGTGTTGTAAGAGTATTTATCAGACGGCCCTCTGCTACTTGAAATGTTGAGGCGATACATGAGCAAGTTGAGGACACAGCTACTTGCCATGGGTGTGAAAGCTGGTGTAAGCCTGGTGTTTGTGAAAATCTCTTGGTACCTACGTCTGACCCTTCTACTCTAGTGTTTGCTGGTACAACTCACAGAGGGCCACATTAGGGTAAAAGAAGACTAAAGAAGCTCTAAGAACATTCACAGGTAATTGGTACACAGTTTGTATGTGTGTGTGTGTTTGACCATGCCTTCTCAGGTAGTGGGTTTCTTCTGGGATCCTCCACTGAGGATTCAAATCTCCTGCAAGTTTTGTAGTAGGTTTGGGGGGCCACTGGGGACCTTTTGTGAGCCTTCAGTTGATCTGTATCATTGTTTGGACATAAGTCCAGGGTGCTAATGATGTTTCGTAGATAAGATGATTTTTGGTTCTTCTGTATTTGGCAGAAGTGCTTGTGCAGCAACTTCCCAAGCCCACAACACTCTTTAGTGCTGTACTGTGAGAATGACCTCACGGGCACTTCAGCAAAGAGCTTTACGCATGCTTGGACTTAATTGTGTACTAGCTGATCCCTTAAATACATGAAGTCCTCTTGGTGGCCATGAGATGGATTATCCATAAGCATCACAGTCTAATTCATTCTTCAAGAACCACTCAACTGAAGTTCAGGTAACAGTGGAAACTAGTGTTTGAACCTTTTTCATGACTAGTACTCCTATGTCAGGTTGCCTTATTTTTTTTTAATGTACGTTAAGTGAAAGTTTACAATTCAAGTTAGTCTCTCATACAAAAATTTAAACATACATTGTATAAGACCACTATTATAAGAACTCAAGAAAAGGTTTAAACACAGAAGGAAACATTCTTTGATGGTTACGAGGGTGGGGAGGGAGGATGAGGGCTATTCACTAACTAGATAGTAGATAAGAATTAGATGAAGGGAAAGGACAGCACACAGTACAGGGGAAGTCAACACAACTGGACTAAACCAAAGCTAAGAAGTTTCCTGAATACAATCAAACACTTCGAGGGACACAGTAGCAGGGGTGGGGGCCTGGGGACCATGGTTTCAGGGAACATCTCGGTCAATTGGCATAACAAAGTTCATTAAGAAAATGTTCTGCACCCTACTTTGGTGAGTGGCATCTGGGGTCTTAAAAGCTAGCGAGCGGCCACCTAAGATGCATCAATTGGTCCCCACCTCCTGGAGTAAAGGAGAATTAAACACCAAAAACACAAGGAAAGTATTAGCCCAAGAGACAGACAGGACCACATAAACAAGAGACTGCATCATCCTGAGACCAGAAGAATTAGATGGTGCCCAGCTACCACCAGTGACCACCCTGACAGGGAACACAATAGAGAGTCCCTGATGGAGCAGGAGAAAGGTGGGGTGCAAAACTCAAATTCTAGCAAAAAGATCAGACTTAATGGTTTGAGATTGGAGGAACCCCAGAAAGCATGGCCCCCAGACTCTGTCAACCCAGAACTAAATTCCTGAGGCCAGCTCTTTGGACAAAGATTGGACTGGATTGTGGAACATAAAATGACACTCGAGTGTGTTTCTTAGCTCAAGTAGATACACGAGACTAAATGGGCAGTTTCTGTCCAGAGGTGAGATGAGAAGGCAGAGAGGGTCAGGAGCTGGTTGAATGGACACGGGAAATCAGAAGTGGAAAGAAGGAGTGTGCTGTCACAGTATAGGAAGAGCAATTAGGGTCACATAACAATGTATATATAAATTTTTGTATGAGAGACTAACTTGAATTGTAAACTTTCACTTCAACTACAATAATAAAAAATGAAAAAAATTGAAATAAATTTATACATAGGTGTAATTTATACATAGGTCAGATGATGATGAGCCAAATGCAGGATCCAGAGTAAACAAATGAGCTTTGCTAGAACATCCATATATATCTGATGCAGGCCCCACCCCTGAGGAAGCTCCCCTTACAACTGATTGGCTAAGAACATCAGATCACATCGTAAAGGATGACTGCATCATTACATATTGCCAAACCACTGAGAATCATGGCCCAGCCAAGTTGACACAAAACCTTAACCACCACAGTCCACCCCTTGTCGACTTGACACCTGTATACATCTCCTTAAACCATGCACAATATAAATAAGACAATTAAGAAGGCATACTTGCACCTACATCCATTGCTGTCGAGTTAATTCCAACTCACAATGAACCTATAGGACAGAGTAGAACTGCCCTATAGGTTTTCGAAGGAGTGGCTGGTGGATTCGAACTGCCAACCTTTTGGTTAGCAGCTGAGCTCTTAAACACTGTGCCACCAGGGCTCCTACTAGCACCTAACATGATACAACTAACGTGTGCAACTAAAAATGCACTAGCCCCGTTTACATCTTATATTTTATAAGTGAAGAAAAAAATATTGGATGCACACATACAAGGAAGAAATACTCATAACAATTACATTTCTTGGTTCTGCAACTGATCATGTGGTAGTAACTGGCATTTAGAACTACCTTCTTCCACCACCCATTCCGTATTCTTTACCCTCAGCAAACTGGTTGTGGTCCTTTACCTGGTGGACTACTGTAGCTTTGCATTGATTTTAATTACAGGGCATGGTAGTACTAAGAGATGCCCTAAGCGATCTCCTGTACTACAAAAGTAATCTTGACCTTCATTATGCAACACCAGTCCTATTTTCCCTTGGTAGTCAGGATCAATCATACTGGCCAATACGGTAACTCCCTTCTTTACCTGTTGATACAGAGGCATGAGGAGCCTAGAGTGGCCAGATGGCATTCTTAACTTCCAGTTCAGTGGAATCAGTGATGTGTCTTCAGGTGGGAGCATTCCTGCCTTTGGAACTAAGACCTCTAGAACCACAGAACATAGGGTCGCGGGGACAGGAAGCAAAAATTTTGCAAGTGGGTCATTAGGGGGTAATAGTGAGTGGTGCTATTCCCATTTCCACACCTTGATTCCTGGAACCATGAATTCTGGCTATGAGAGAAACAGCACCATATATTGGAGGCTGGTTTAGAGCATATACAGCTCTTGGAGAACATTGCCCCAACCCTGCAAAGTACTGCCACTTAGCTAGCACTGTAATTATCCCTTTAGAAGGCTGTTCCATCATTCTGTTAAGCTAGCTGCTTCAGGATGACAGGGAACATGGTAAGACCAGTGAATTCCATAAGCATGGGCCCATCGCCATACTTTATTTGCTGAATAAAGTGAAGTGAGTCCCTTGATCTGAGGTGATGCTGTGTGGGTTACCATGAGGGTAGGTAAGGCATTCTGTGACTCCACGAATGGTGGTTTTGGCAGAGGCATTGTGTGCAGGGAAGGCAAACCCGTATCTAGAGTAAATATCTATCTCAGTAAGAACAAAATGCTGCCCTTTCCATGATAGAAGTGGTCCAATGTAATCAACCTGCCGTAGGTTGCTGGCTGATTGCCTTGAGGAATGGTGCCATATCGGGGACTCAGTATTGGTCTCTGCTGCTGGCAGATTGGGCACTCAGCAGTGCCTGTAGCCAAGTAGGCCTTTGAGAGTGGAAGTCCATGTTGCTAAGCCCATGCATGACCTCCATCCCTACCACCATGGCCACTTTGTTCATGAGCCCATTGGTCAATGACGGGAGTGGCTGGGGAAAGAGGATGACTGGTTTCTACAGAATGTGTCTTCCTATCCACTTAATTGTTAAAATCCTCTGCAGAGGTCATCCTTTGGTGCAGTCACATGAGACACAAATATATTCACTTTGGCTCATTTAGAGGGGTCTGTCCACATACCTCTTCCCCATACCTCCTTGTCACCAACTTGCCAATCACTTTCCTTCCAGGTCTCTGACCATCCAGCCAAACCATTGGCCACAGCCCATGAATCACTATATAATTGCATGTATGGCCATTTCTCCTTCCAAGCAAAGTGAACAACCAGGTACACTGCTCGAAGTTCTGCCCATTGAGAGGATTTCCCTTCACCACTGTCCTTCAGGGAGATCCCAGAAAGCGGCTGTAGTAGTGTCGCTGCTCGCTTTTGAGTAGTTCCTTCATATT